TATATATATATATATATGTATATAAACCTAGTCACTTTTTATTTTATCAAAAAATTACATTATAAACAATTTTCGGTTGGTAACAGTTGGTCGTAAAAAAAGTCGACTATTTTACAATATTATACAAACATACGCACGCGCACACACACACACACACACACACACACACACAAATATATATAAGGTGTCTGGTAAGTTTTGGCAAAACGCTCGTGTGTAAATAGAACGGACTAAATTGAGTCGAAAAATTCTCTACTATTTTGCAATTTTCGCAATAGTCAACAAGATATTAATTACAAAAAAATCGCTGAATATTAATTGATTTTCAATAATTTTTTACTCTCTCTACCACGTTTTTTTAACATTATTGTACATCATCGTATATTCTTATAATATTATAAAACATGCTACAAAGATACACATAATTCCTCGTTATCATTTAATAATCAATATTGATTTTCGTATATCATAATTAAGAACAATTTTTTTTATAAATCTGCAAAAATATTCCACCATTAGCAGTTCCGTTAATGGTGGAATATTTTTACAGATTTATAAATCAAAAGAGGAGGACGTCGTCCTCGCCAAGGACGTCCTCCTCAATGATAATGACATAATCCTCATCATTGAGGGGGACGAGGAGAAGGAGGAAGAATTTTACATGGATGACTTCGATATATATATATATATATATATATAATATACAGGGTGCTTGGAAAATAATGATAAATCTTTCGCATAAGGGCAGAATGGACTAAACTAAGAAGAAAAGTCCTCTATCATTTTGCAATTTTCGCAATAGTTAACAAGATATTAATTACTAAAAATTACCGAAAATTGGTCTTCAATAATTTTTTACTCAAATACTATCAACCTTACAAAAAAACTGCGAAAGACGAAAATTGTTTATTTTCTTCTCATAGAATTCTACGAATTTTTTTAGAATTTTTAATCAACTTTTTAGTATTGCATTTTCTCATTTTACCAATATGAGAAAATAATGATAAATTATTTTATGGTATTAAAAAATTCTGAAAAATTCCAAAAAAATTCTTAGAACCCTATGAGAAGAAAATAAACAATTTTTGTCTCTTGCAGTTTTTCTGTAAAGTTGATAGTATTTGAGTAAAAAATTATTAAAGACGAATTTTCGGCAATATTAGCAATTAATGTCTTGTTAACTATTGCGAAAATTGTAAAATGGACTTTTCTTCTCGGTTTAGTCCATTCTGCCCCTATGCGAAAGATTTATCATTATTTTCCAAACACCCTGTATATAAATTATGCAAATATAAATTTGCATAGCGGATAAAACCCAAACACGTGGGGCGCTGGTGGAATCGAACTCGGGTAAATTCCGAGTCGATCCACCTCGGGTGAATTCACCTTGTAGCCACCCTGCGCCCCACAACTTACACTACCAATTATAGTAAATGCAGACTCGCAGTCATGTTATAATATATATTTTAACATATATGTAACAAATAAAATATTTATAATATTTTTTTTCAGTATCTATTAATGCTACACATATTTATAATATTATAAATATTTATAATAACAAAAAACATTTTGTATTTGTGTTAGAAACAATTCACACAAATCCTTGTTAAGAATTTGTGTCCTTGTTAGAAATGAGTGATCACATGCGATTTTCGGATATGTCCGCGTATGTTTTAAATGTGCGAACCCATATTAGTCTCATGTCAATAAAAAAGATGTAAATTCGTTAATCCTGAAATTCCAGAGATTTTCCAGGAGTTTTCTAGGATACATTAAATTCCAGGATAATTCCAAGATCCAAAAGGACATTCAAAGATTGCTGGACCCTGCAATATTTATTATATGTAATACAAAATAATTGTAATACAATAATTGCAATCCAATCTACAATTCATGATTATTCATATACAATAATTCATATACACGTTATTTTGTCATTGGCCTGCAAGTCTTACTTTTGAATGCATATTTATCATAGTGTTACCTATACTGAACAAAATAAAATCAATATTAATATATTTTTATCATTACTAATCATTATTATTAATGTAACATTGTAATATGCAACTATACTAACAATACATAGAAAAGAAACGAATCCAATATATTGAAGCGAAATAAAAGAAAAGAAAGATTCTATTTTTCAATTTTTTATTTTTTTAATAATTTTAGTTAGTATATTTATAACTAGTATTATTATAACTAGTACACTATTATAATAAATCTATTATCTAGTTAGTATTATTATTTGGTTAGTATTTAATTAGTATTATTATAATTAGCCTATTTTGTTTTCAAGTAAAATTGTTTTTTTTTTAATTATGTAAATATCTAGCATAGCACGCAATATCAAATAATATTACTTAGTTGAAGGATAAAAAATTAATAGACAGTAATAAAAATAAAAAGATTGATCGCACAATTACAATGAATGTATTAAATAAAAAATATAAAAAAACACCAAAAAGTTTTTTTAAATTCTGAATCATGTATAATATCGGATCGTTATAATTATTTAGTAAATTTATTCAACTAATAATAAGATTATAATAAATTATACATTTAATTCTATTATTTTCGCAGAAACGTAAAAGTGCCTGTATAGGCGCAAGATGCTCTTATCTCATCTCTCTGCCGTGCAAAACTAAACCGCTAAACATTTCCCTGAATCAGAGCCCTGAGATTCATCAGAGAGGTGTGCCTCCGTGCCAAAACGCCATCTGTACGTTACTGCGATGTATCGAGAGGACTAGAGGAACCCTTTTGCAGCGGACGAAATTAGTCGTGGGGTATCACGCGGTTGCTCCTTACAGAAAAAAATTATGATGGCAAGCAAGGCTTGGAAGGTCAGTACTGCAGATCCTCGCTGGAACCGGATCACTCCTACGGCATGACAGCGCGCGGAAAGCGACTATCATATTCCCGCGACTCGGCCACAGGTACTGACGCCGTCTTTTCGTAGGTAGTCCAGCCGCATGTGCCGATGATCAAGTTCCGCAAGGGTGGCATCGATCGCGCAGGTAACGTAGACAAAAAATAGCATAAACAATCGTCGATCGTCTTCTGCGTGAAAAATAATATCCCCGCCAACGAATCCGCGATCCATGATCCGCGTTGTTGGTTAGCAGTTGCGGGCACGACGGCTGCGCCACCTACGCGACCAGGATCGGCGCAGATGCAGCAGAGCGCGGGTGGTGCGACGGGCCCCCAGGTGATCGTTCTGCCAACGATAGAGGACATTCACTTGCCACTGCGATATCAGAGACGGCCGATAGATCAGAAGGAAATAGAATATATCAATGTAAGTTTCGACGGTTATTTGAATTGCAAATTATATTATGAATCATGTATACTTTAGTGCTAGCTTAATATTTATGATATATAATGTAATATAATTGTAATGTAAAATATATATGTATATATATATATAATTTTTTGTATTCTATATTTTATAAGTTTTTTAGTTTATTTTACATTGAATCTTGTGTACAGATACTTGCTTGTTGCTTGTTTCAGCGTGGCGGACCAGAGTGAGTTTGCAAAGCAAGCATTTAGGATACTGTAAGATCTATATTTAGGTAACTAACTTTGTTATTGACCGATTTGGTGTAATGTGTTATTAAAATAAATGAACGTGACAGAGAGTTCCCACGCTGCGAGTATAATTATTTCATATTTACATCAGCCACCTATCGGGCAAGGTCTCCTGTGAGTTGTGACATTGCCAGGGCCTGCTATTTCTGGCACAACTTTTAGCTCATTCCAATAACAGCCGATTCTTGTTAATCCGGGATCTACGACAATGAAATTCTAATTAAATATGTTATTTTGCAACTTTCTATTTGCGTTTCACACGATTTAAGCTAGACGACATTATTTCTCAATTTCCTTACACGATTTTCTGGGATATAAATACTATGGGACTTAAAATAAATCACTATTCTTGATTGTTTTTGATTCATTTCTATTAACGAGACAGGTCAGACAGGGGTGTGCAATAATAGTCCAAAATCTGTGATTTAAAAGTCGGATTAAAAATGCTCTTTTGCATCTCTGGATGTAGTGATTTTCAAAATAATCTTACATAACATAAGAATTTTTATGAAAGCTTATTTCTCTTTTTTCTTATCTCCTACATCTATATTAAAAAAAAATGTTACGTTTACTTGCTATTAGTGTAACAATAGTATTAGCTTAACAATTAGTAATATTTTTGGAAATATAGAACTCGAGATTTGTATGTATGAAGTATTGTCTTTAAGCATTCAATTTCAAATAGTAAAACTTAGGTAATACGTATCGAAAAAAAAACTACCAAACTAAAAAGTAAAACTCAAATTGTATTAATTTTTTTATTAATTTATATATAGTTTTATTAATTTATATATGATAAACCTAAGCGATATGTAGCTTTTTGTATTTTCATTGAAGGTCTTTCCAGTTCAAATAATAATAGCTTTAATTTTCCTTCAAAAATTATATTGCAAAATTAACTTTATTCAACTGAAGTAATATGTATCATTTGTATAAAAGATGATATCAATAATTTGATTAGCGCCAAGATAATTTGCACAAAATTGTAATACATTTCGTATAAAGGACTTGATTGGCGCAACAACTGGTGGAAAGTTAAGTTCTACGAAATTTTATATATCATTCGTTTCAATGATCTTTTTAGTGTGGAGCACAAGATTTTGTTGCAATAATTTCGGAAAGCCACATTTGAAACTTGGGAAGAAATGACGTATCGGGCAACAGCGTCTTTTTACGGCCCTGCTGCGATATGACAAAAATAGCAGACGACAGTGCGCTGCGACTTCGGCGGCTGCCGCCGTCCCGCTGTCCCTCCTCCTCTCGACATCTACTGATCCGTACGTGAACGCGGAGGAGGCGATCTGAGTAGTTTTATCGAAGTTTTCTCGAAGTGCGAAATTTTTACGAACGACAAACCCACTGCGAAAATGGCCGAGGTAACGGACTTCGGACCAAGAAAAACGTTTTTTATACTCGCGGTCGTGATCGGCTGCTTCACCGTGCTGTGGCCGAAAATTCTGCAACCTATGTTCATAGGATTTGTCATTCCACATCACCCCACTTCGGATGGTAAGGCTCCAAAGTTCTACGCCCAAATCTGTTGACGACGTTAGAAAAGTCGCTGGAAACATCGCATTATCATGAGAATGTTATACTTCTTATCTGTATGAAATAACTTAAATTTGGATAAATAAGAATTATTTAAAAAAGATTATAGAATTAAATAGATAAGAATTATTTGAGTAAAAATTTTTTGAAAAGATGTATTTTTACATTTTGTAAAATTATTGCTTATTGATTGATTTGAATGATGAAATTCACTGAAGGAGTACTTTATTGTTTATATATTTATGCAGTGTGCTGCGAAGTGATATTCGAAAGCGATGTCACTGCAGTGGACATCATGCAAGAAATGTGTCAAAACATATTGAGACATCATCCAATTGATCCACGCGTGAGAGACGCCTTAAAACTTAGCAAGCTGACCCCTCAAACCGCGAGTTTGTGTAGAGAAGAGGTTCTAGCTAGATGCGGCATAGACTTGTCGTCTTTTCTTGCCGAAAGAGAAAGTTTGGGAAAAACCTATAAACAAGTGCTGGAAGAAATTAGATCATTCAATAGCTCCCTTTGCCTCAAAATAAATTTTGGTGTCCCACTGTCGCAATTAGGGACACCTCATCTTATTAGATATCATATCTTAATGCCACACAGTAAGAACTGCAAGGATATATAAGAATTGAGCCCCACTAGCGAATTAATTTTGCCATATTACTCAGATATAATTAACTAATTAACCCTTGTAACTGTTTCCCTAATGTATTCTTGAAATCTGTGAGTTTGTAATTTTTATAACAGTTTAATATGATATGGTTTATTATGTGAATTGATTGATTTTTACATTAATATTCTTTGATCACACATGGTGACTACATGGTTTGTAAATCGCTTATATAAAAAAATAATCTTGGAGAATTACATTTTAATGCATCACATCATCAAATATATATGGAAAAACGGATTTCAGTTGCCTTGGCTGAATGCCAAAAAAAATAAGCATAATATTTGGCAGACAAGAAGCCTAGCCTCTATAGACAATTTCAAATATATCCATACTAATGATTTATTATATTCCTCTTATCTCTTGGTTTTCAACATGTATTTTAAATTTTATTAGATTACCCAGTCTAATACATTTGTAACAGTTTTCCTGATTTTTTAATTAATTATATATTGCAGCAATTAACACAAGACTCTACTAAACTCTAGAATATCAATATAAAATAAACATGTTTTCGTGAATTGAGACAAATAGTATATATATTTTATAAGCAAATTTTTGTATGTATGTACAGATGCTATACAACAAGAACGTCGTACTCCTCCTCATGCAGGCGGAATGCATCCTGCGCTGAGAGAAAGGGGAAGGGCCATACCATCCTCTCATATTGTACCAAAGATAATCGACAGGCCACCGCCACCCGGCGAATTTATGCCAAAATTGCCAAAAATGAGGCCACCTCTCGGTGGTGCTGGTTACGTTGTTCCACCCAAAGGTTCCACCATCCTATCCAGCATGGGAATTGTTATGCCAATGTATACAATAGGAATAATCGTGTTTTTCATATATACCATTATTAGGGTAATGTATGAATTTATAAAATAATTCTAACAAAATTTTGGAAGCAATGAAGACTTAAAATTTATATTAACAGATTCTTAGAAAGAATACCGATAGCGAGATTATTTCGGAATACCCAGGAGCAGCTGCTGAAAAGGAATTTCGGAGAAAGGTATTCAGTCCAGAAGCTCTTGCTGCTGCAATGACTGGAGGGCATTCCAAATTCCATTCAATCAACCCATATTATCTAAGAGAAAAGTCACCGTACGAGACTGCTCCAACTATTGAGGAATTAAACGATCGTAAGTGCTTTTACAAATATATTTACAATTATAAATCATATTTCATTTACATTATCATCAACGCAATGTTTTTATGAGGAACTAATTCTTTCGGAGAAACTTAAGATATATGTTTTCTTGAGTATCTAAGACAGATTTTTAAATGGTGTTGCAAGGTTTGCACAATTAGAACACACACGTATTTATACATGCGAATATACATTGCAAGATTCTGAATAAAAATGTGCATATTGCAATTATTCGTACTTATATTCTGAACACGTTTGGTAATGTTCTACATGCTGGAATACAAGAAGCAGCAGGAGACATAGAGATAGATCAACTGAGACAACGATTGGTCGAGACGGAAGCAGCCATGGAAAGAATTGTTGTCCAGATGGGCAACATATCACGTTCAGTAAAGCATAACGCGAGTTCTCAACCAGAAATCAAGGTTTATCAGATTAATTTTGACGCCATTCACAGTTTCAGTTTATTAGTCGTTAGAGAAATGTGCACGTCACTGTGTTCTGATTGCGTTACAAGCTTGATCCATCCAATGTACATTAAACATGTTGTACATTTAGTATAAGACCTTATCTTCAATATTTGGCTTTTTCAAATATCGATGCTTGCAGATAATTGTTGCAACATTACAAATTGTTGGTTTAAACGTTTATAATTTATATAAGATTCATATTGATGTGTACTAGTCAAGTACAATATTCAGTACAAACATTTAAGTCAGAATATGCGTTCGATACCAGAATTCACATTGAATATTTTACATTTTGAGTAGTAGATGGGTCTCCAAAGTCCAATGGTCTGGCAGGGGTCGATCGCGGTTCTAAGGTATATCCCTTGCCTCAGAAAATATTTCTAACAAGAGTAACCAAGAGTTTGTGGACCACTTTCTATTTTCAGTGCACTAGTTTCACGAATAATGAATTTATCACATTAAATGTTTCTTAGACTTATATACAATAGTTTCATCATGACATGAGTCTACAGTAACAGTATTTCAGTGTTTTAAGTGTAGAATGCCGTTATTCTTTTATCTTTTACATAAGAAAAGACATACATGATTTGTCTCAATGCTAAATATTGTTGAAATATTAGTGAAACAGTAGTTGCTCCTCCCAGAGCTTCTCAGTTACAAGTGCTAATTGTGTGCCTTGCATGAGATCCGCTTATTTTACATCTTGTTGATGTAGCATATTATAAAATGTATAAAAGAAAATTATATATATGGATTTCTATGACATCTTTTATGACTTGTACATATATTTATGTAATTGTTTTTTTTTCCCCAAATAAACGTAGAATTTTTAACATAGTACATTTTTTTAATTCTAAGGATTTTGTTATATTAAAATTGTATATATAAAATAGCTCTTACATCACATTAATTAGCAAGATGGCTTCGATATTACTACATATGTGTTATTATAATATTTTTTTATTTAAAAGATGTATAAAATAAGAAGTAAATAATGAAAAAGCAGCACATTAAGAATTTAATTTATAGGACACTGCAGACCAGGAATCACATAGTAAGGAAGATGAAGAATTAGACATAACAGAACAATCTCCAACTGTTAAAGTCATGGGTATGGAAATGACAGCTAGTTGTGAAAGTGGACAGAAATGTAGCAGACCCACCACTCCCATTATTCCTACACCAAGGTATTATTCCTTCTTTTATATTTTTATTCATATTATTAGTATTTTCATGATTCATTGAATTTTATTATTTCTGTTTCAGTAACATTGAAAGAGAAAAAACGCCGCCAACATCTATATATTTAGAGGGTGCACTTCCACCACAATGTGAATTACTAGTAACCGATTCAGAAACTCAAGCTGAAAAGTCAGAGGACGATGACGACGCTCCAGTTGTTCTCTCAGGCAAAATGACTCTCTCTCTCATCAGTCTCGACCAGATTCCAGCTGTAAGGAAATATTAGAATTACCAACAGAATCAAATGAATCTGCGGAGCCTTGTTTTATTTGGTGATTCTTTCATTCATTTAATTGTTTGCCTAACTTCTGTATAGGTTACTTAATATAGAGATCACAAATCACAGGAACTAAATGCAGAACTAAGTGCAAAGAATGGTTTCTTGGCTATTACATGTATGGGTATGAGTGATGCGCTGATTTCATTGTTTATTATTTCTATCCCAATTCTCTGTGATTTGTTCGAAATATTAATAACTAGTGCCTTGTACGTCTTATGTTTCACTAATATCTTAATTTTAATATAAGATACACTGGCTTGTTAAAATACAAATTTAAGTTCTGTCAAAAAAATACCGGATGCTGAAATAGATTGCTAAACTTAAAGAGCGTATTCTACAACTTGGCCATCTATCTCATGTAATCTATTACAGATAATTTATATTTTATTTTAAAAAATATGTAATTTACATTTATTTAATATTGTTTATGTCCATGTGTTCACACAAATTACTAAATACGGTGAATTTGTTTTTAATTTTTGTAATTTTTTGATAAGTTTATGAATTCTTATTTTATTTTTACTTAATTTTATAATACTAATAAGATAATATGTTATGCAAATTGCTTTTTTTAAAAAACAACACTTTATTATACAGTCACATTAACATATTAATCATTACAGCTATACAAATAATGATATATTTTATTATATTTGAGATATAATATACTGTATTTAACATTGATATTAAAAGTTTAGTAATTACATAAAATGAGTCACATAATTTAATCGAATTATATTTTTTTGCAGTTTAGTAGAAATAATAGAAAAAATGTTAATTTAATAGTAGTTAATTTAATACTTAATCTTTTATGTTTTTTTACAAATGCAATAATATAAAATGCATGTATAAAATATAATTGCATTTTAAAAAATAGAATAGGTTTATTTATTTTACGTATAAATTATTCTCAGTATTATTTAATTTACAAAAGTATTTAAGGATTAAACTTTTTATGAAAATATTTATTAAAAATAAATATTTTGTTTTGCAAAATATTTCTAGTTACATATATTTATTCAAAATTGTTCAAAAATTATTTTAAACCTCACATCGTGAAATATTTACTAATAAAGTAAATTAAATACTGTGTTTGTAAACATTCAAGACTCTCTACTCTGAACTTTATATTCTTCTAAGATCGGTAGTTGATCAGTTGATAACTATGGCTTCAATGACTAAATTCTCACCCAACGGAAATACTCAGACAAATCGGAAACGTATCAGAATGGTATTGTATTTCACAAATAATAAAGAAATTATTTGTTCAATGTTATTGAATGAATAATCGATGGAAAATTTCTCACAGTTAATTTATTACTATTTTATGCTCTCATTAATATGAAAATTTGACTTCATCTTGTTGTATATTTGCACTTGAATATTTCAATATTATGGATAATATTATATAGATTAATTAAAATAAAACTTTTTATACTGAAAACCAAAATTTTTTTGCACCCAAAGATAACAAATTAAGACGTTGAATTGTTTTGTTATTGTAATATTTAAATTTCAATTTAAAATTTATCTTGAGCAAAGATTATGATTAAAAACTGTGACTCATCCTTTATTTTATTTAATAAATAATCTATTTTTTATGTTCAATTATTTATTTTATAATTTAAAATAAATTTTTACATAATATAAACAATCATATTTGATTTATAGGATTCAGAAGCTGAAAATCCAGATGGTAAGAAAAAAAGGGTTTTGGATACTCAAGCGGAAATTAGAGATGTAAAAGATATGAAAAATACAATATTGCAAAAGGAGAAAGATAAAAAAAAGAGAGAAGAAGAAAAGGATAAAATTGAAGAAAAAATAGAGGAAGAGGAAACTGAAGAGGAAGTAGAGGAAGAAGAAAATGAAGAAGAGGAACTAGAGATAGTCGAAATTGAAGGACAAAAGGAACTAGAGAAAGAGGAAAATAAAGAGGAAGTAGAAGAAGAGGAACTAGAGGAAGAAGAAAATGAAGAAGAGGAAGAGGAAGAAGAGGAAGATGAAGATGACGAAGATGAAGATGAGGAAGATGAAGATGAGGAAGAAGAAGAGGAAGAAGAAGAGGAAGAAGAGGAAGGATACTTAGGAAAAGACACGGATGACGACAAATTAGATTAAAAACTTAGAAAACATAAAGAAAAAGAAATAAAAGTAAAAGAAACCAGCTAAGAGTGAAAAGACTTTTAAAAGTAATTCTGTTTGTTCAAAAATGGATCAGTGTTTACCAATCTTTAATAAGTCCCTTTATTATAATGAAAATAACTATGATTATCTCATAATACATATGTATAAGAAAGCTGGTTTAATATGAAGATGCATAAATTGTTGGTTAAGCACTGCCAGATACCTAAAATGTTATATGTATTACATTTCCGATTTTTTTAAATCACTATATTTGACATTTTATAGAATTGTAAATTTATTAATCATAGGGGCCAAAAGAAAGAGAGGCAGTGCTATCTGTGCCACAATGCAATGATGACATAGATACTTCGACCTATAACCTATTACATTATTACTTGCCAGGGTTGGGTAATGCCAAGTTAAAAAGTTAAAAGTTAAAAAGTTGAAAAGTTAAATAATTTTAACTTAACTTAGTTACATTTTAGACTCTTAACTTTTTAACTTTATTTAGTTACATTTTATCGATAACTATTAACTTTTTATTTAAATTTTTTGAAGTTAAACAATATATTTATATTTTAAGTCTCAGACTCAAACATATATTTCATTTAGAACATACTCTATATTTCACTTAAAAGTTTTGTATATATTATTTACATTATATATTGATTTCAATCTAGCAAAAATCGTATATTTTAATGTATCTAGTTTTTGATAGGTTAAAATCTATATATAT